AGAGAGAGAGAGAGAGAGAGAGAGAGAGAGAGAGAGAGAGAGAGAGAGAGAGAGCAGGGGACGAGGGATAGGCCTGCAAGTGGACAAATGCATGGGAGGGAATAGAGATTTGTAAAATATTGACACAACAAAGAAGCTGGAGAGCGAAACAACGAATAGCCAATTTTGCAAAGACTGCAAAACGTACACTCCGCACCGCATACGGATACCCTTTCTTGAAGGGGTAGACAAACTTAGGGACAACAAAACGCCCCTGTCCCCATTGGCTTACCCATCCCTCGTCTCCTTCTCCTCCTGCTTCGCTTTCGCATCATCTACTGACCAGCGAATTCAAGGCTCTCATATCGAACATACTCCCAACCTATTTCTTTCACTATCTCTCATAATTTATTAGGACTCGCTGCCACTCGAAAGCCCGAAACACAAGCTAAAAAAAAACTGGAAAACGGGAGTTCGTTCGAACATCTATGTATTCTTCTGTTCTGTATAATACAAGCCTCGCATCAGGAGCAAAGTCCCACTCGTTGAGATTCTGTGTTCCTGACTGACCGTCGATGGCTGTGATATCAACGACCGAAAACCGAGAATCCAGGCAAGTGGCACTTTGTCCAAGGAGACCCGAAGTGGGAATCGGTCCCGCGCGGCCATGGATCAGAAAGTAGTCGACAACGCCAATTCAGAAAAGTCGTTCGCCATCACGCCAATTTCCCAAAGCCACCAAGTTCTTTGCACTGTTGATTCTTCCACGCTGATAGTCAGTTAGGGGGCAAATTCTGCACCGTAACAGACTGCAATCATGGCCAGATTCCGCAGCAGAACAATTCTCGGTATGACTGTAGTACCTTCTGGAAGTCCCGTATAGATCCACCCACCCCTTCTCTCAGATCAGCAACCACATCCTCCTTCCATCCATGCCATTCCGCCACAGCCTGCCTCCAACCACAATATCACAAGTTACAATCTGCTTGCCTTGCTTTCAGCCGCGATCATGCAGTATCAGCTGGGGTCTTGCGCCTCACGGTAGCAGTTCGCCCTTGACTAACTCAGACACGCTGCACAAATTTCGTCGCGCAGTGATGGTTGGCGTCGCTCAGAAATGGTGTCGCTCAGAAATGTAGTAAAGTCCTAATGTTCGATAGGTCATGGTCACAGTCTAGCAGATTAAATATCTGCGGAGTAGTAGTCTGCCGATTTCCTCGAGGAAAAGGCAGCCTTCCCATCATCACCTTCACTGACGTATAGCGAGCGAGTCATCCATAAGATCAACATAATCCTCACCACTGCCTCCGCTGTTTGATTGGCTTCTCCTGTTCGGTCAGAGAAGGTGGATGAAGACGTCAGGAACAGTTGCACTGACGTGGAAGAAGGGATTGCGTGAGGCACAGGAAAAGAAACAAAGGGATTGGAAACGTGTGGGGGCAGGGCAAAAGACATGCAGACACAGCATCTGCATATTAACCTGTATTCTCCTCCGATTGATCGAACAATCATGGAACGCTCACATGTCGAAATGTGAGTATGGACTCCGCCAAGTTCTAAGCTCACTCACCAGAAATCGTATAATCCGAAACTGTAATTCCGATGAAGAAGAGTACATAGACACAACACAAATCGACACAACACAACTCAGCTTCCTGATTGCTGTTCAATGATCGCTCGTGACCTACGTGGATGAACGATCCTGGAATCTTCCATGAAGCTTGCTTGATAGATCGTCAAGAACAATGATCGCTCGTGACCTACGTGTATGAATGACCCTTGAATCTTCCCTCCATGAAGCTTGATAGATCGTCAAGAATCTACAGATTCGCTTTACATCTATCTCAGCTCCGAATTCTAATCTTTCTCTCGTTGGATGGGAAAAAAACATATGCATATCCAAATTCGTTGCCAACTTATAGACAGCTTAGTACTGGCAATGCATCGAGTCATCCTGCCAGAATCTTCGCTGAAAATAGTGACAAAGTGGAAGGCAACAAGATCCGTTAAATTAAGATGCTGATCCCTTGAAGCAATTTTACTATTTGCTTAGGAATCGAGGAAATTGAGCAACGAACCGTTGAGCAAGGGCGATTAAAGCACACCACTACCACCTTCCAAAACAGCGGAAATATACAGGAGAGCTTAACGCAGTCTGCCGTAAGAGAGCATTCCTTCTATCGACGCATCGAAGATGCAGAAAGCTCTGGCCACACACTGAGTCTCTCTCTCTCTCTCTCTCTCTCTCTCTCTCTCACACACACACACACACACACACACACACCCAAAAAAAAAAAAAAAAAAAAAAAAAAAAAAAAAAACACACACACACACACATGTGCGGCTCGATCGATAGCTATTGGACAGATTGGGAGAAGATCATTGTCGTATTGCATACAATCCACTGGGCCAAGAGCTCATCACTACCAGTTGTACCTCTAAGGTCGTTGCTCTCCGTTTGAATTCCCAACCAGATAGCAATTGCCATACCGGGAGAGAGAGAGAGAGAGAGAGAGAGAGAGAGATTCAGAAGGACTGAACCGAGGCTGTAGGAAGGGGAAGGGGGAAGAGGGGGGAGGTGGTCACACAATGGTGACCTTGTGAGCGAGCAACTCCAACCCGCGGCACGTGGGTTGCTCGTAGGCATGCACATTGAACTCTATTTCGATGAGCGAATCCAATGGGAGAATGTCCCTCAAGGCGACGTCATCTGCTAAATTGACGTCCAACCTCTCCAGCATTTGCCCGAATGGACGGTACCGGAAGAACCCTGTTCCTGCAGAACAGTTCTGTCCACCAACCAGCTCAACCCTGCAACGAGCACACGAAACGAGAAAGAGCAAATGACACGAGAATCAGGCAAAACGACAGGACGGGGGAGGAGAACCGGCCAGAGAAATCAGGACACGTTTTACAATCACAAACGACAGCTCAGAACGGAAAAGATGACCTTCAAATTCTGTAAAACCTTATCTTCGGCAACGTATACAAACACTCCGCCTTATCCCTAACAGCCGTAGCAGAATCTACCAATCCAGAATCGCTCAAGCCGGGAGACGAATTCTGCTTTCTCTACTGCAATACACACCAAGCAAGACAACAAAACCGGCTTTTGGGGGGACTCTCTCTGCACGCTCCTTTTAACTGTCCATAACCTGAAGCAGCTCCTGCCATTCATTTTCACTTTCTGGAACATGCATGAACCGTCTTCTACCTCCGATTTCTATCCTGCCAGCTTTTTCAATACGCCCTCCTTAAGCACAAAGCACCGTGACCACTACTGTCAATGGTTGATGTGATGCTTTGACTCTTGCACAATTCGACTCCGGAGACTCTAGCACTCCCCATTACATTACTCTATCAAACACTTTTCCACCATGCAATACATTCCCATGATGACAAGGCCAGGAATCATAAATGCGTCCACCGATCACGGACGTTTCCACAGATCATGAATGCATGCATACAGGGTCTCCGCAGATAACGACGATGCGTGCTTTCGACACTTTTTCGGCGCTTTTTCTCCAGCAAAAAGGTTCTACAAAGACTGTGATCTCGGGACACATTGGGTTGCGATTGAGAGAGGGCCCTATCTCACCTCATTCGACATGCGTCTTCTTCAGCAGATTCCTTTCCAGTGTCGTCAACCACGACCACCGGACGCCATTTACACGTCACTCCCGTGTCCCTCTGCTTGCGATCAACCAGATCTTCACACTTTCTCACAAGGTCTATTGCCGAGGACGAGGGCTCCACGACTATGCCGACACTTGAAGGACACAAGCTCGGCCCTCCTAAGTTGTGGACATTCAGGGCACTGCCAACAACAACCCTCAGGCGAGCGTTTTCCTCCCTGAAGCGGCAAAGAGCTTTACCCTTGTAACATAAGGAGAGTTTATTGCTGGAGCTGATTTTAGTACCCAGATCCTCCAGATCAACATCAGACACATCCACAGCAAGAGCGGATGGAACGGCCTCGTGGTACAGACTGCCACCGGAAGGCTGCCACAGTGCACCCGGTTGGCCACAAGATTTAGAAACAAAGAGCGAGAGAGCGTTCTCTTCCACTCCAGGGATGCCGTGTGGAGCATCGCCAAGCAGAGCAGCCAGAGAAGAAGGTACCACAGGTGAGGACTCAGACTCGACTGAGCTGACAGCGCCACTTTCCTTGGATACAGCATCATCATCATCATCATCATCATCATCATCATCGTCATCTTCTTTACTAGCATTCTCAGAGAGCGACTCGCATTCAGGGCCACTGTTCACTACACCACTGCTATCAGCGGTCCCAATACTGCCACTGGTACTAGTAGTACTAGTGGTACTCGTAGTACTAGTGGTACCAGTGATATTAGTGGTACCGGTCATATTAGTGGTACCAGTGATATTAGGGGTACCAGTGGTATAAGTGGTACCAGTGGCACAAGTGAGATTCATTGTACCGTTGGTACTCGTGATTTCCGGAGCAGCATTTGCATATGCATTATTGCCAGAGGCTTCAACCGTCGTCAGATCCTCAAATGATATCAATGGACACGATGGAGACGAAGACTGCTCTTCGACAGGCACGTGCTCTGTCGCTTTTAGCTCCTGCGTAGGCATCTTCAGAGATGAACCTTCGGTCTCTACCACGTCTTTTACGTCGATCTTTTTGACTGTTGCATCCAGATCCTTGACATCAACCCTCTTGATCGTTCCGTCAGGAACAGTCTGAGCTTCAGGGGAGTAGCTCTGTACAGCCTCGCGTGCAGGACTTGCATCCTCCTCCCCGCGTTTCGCTTGTTGCCCGTCGCTGGCCGAGTTTGCCTGCTCTGCTGCAGTCACTTTATGCTTGCTGCTGTCGCCACAAAGGGGGGCACTCGCTGACGTTACGGTGTTCGTTGGTGGCAAATCTCCCTCCGTAGCTTCTTCCTTCCCTGATTTGCTGACGTGGCCACTGCCGCTGACGTCTGCAACAGGCTTCGCATCGTTTGCCAATTCGCCCACTGCAACACACGTGGCACTGGCAGTGTTAGGCAGCTCGAGCAGAGTGCTGCTGGTTTCTACCCTGATACTAACCTGCGGTGTCTGCACATTGCGAACATTCTTCTGGGCAGCGACTCCCACCTGGCAGACAGATGGCTGGTAAGATTTCGACAAGAAGCTTCGTCGTTTCTGAGGCGGCGCACACACAGAACTAGAAGACTTCTCTTGTGTGACCATCAGGGACGGACCTGCAGCTCGTGCAGCAAGTGTGTGGATCGCTGGGCTAGCAACTGCAGCAGTTGCAGGACCTCTCGCTGATGCAGCTCTCCTCAGCAGCTGCTGCTGCTCATCCGATTGCCGGGGAACAGAAGGCTGGAGATCTCGTTTGCTGTTTTGCCTGCTGCCTACTCCTGCTGGTGCTGCTGCTACGGCCGTTGGAGCGGCAGCACGGGGACAAACACCAGCTGGAGTAGGCAACGGCCGCGATTGCATGCTGGCACTCCGTTTGCGAGAGGAGATAGTGTCTTGCTGATGATGCAAAATACTAGTGGGAGAGCGTCCGCTTCTCCCTCCGCCGCACCTGGCTGCTGTAGCTCTCTCCTCCGCCGACCTGCTCTCCACTTCCTCACCTCGGAAACTTCTCACCGAGTCCTCCACGCTCGTTCCCGTGCTCGTACTCGTTGCACTCGTGGCATTACTAGTACTATTAGTGGTGACAGTCCTAGTAGTCGCAGTGTCTGAGAGAGACTGAGAAGTCGATCGTTGCTGTGAGGAGGAAGACGAGGAGCTCCTGTCCGGGGAATCAACGGGCTTACGATTCCGACCACTTTCCACTCCCACAGAGCAGAACATCGTTCTTCGGGGATTGCCACTCTGCCTACCGACAGCTCCTCTCGTACTGTGCTTAGAATTGGAACACACGCTCTTAGCAGCTGCAGTAGAAGTACCGGCAACAGCGGCTGTCTGAGCGGCAGCAGGTGCAGGGAACAGCGAAGTACCAGCAACAGCGGCTGTCTGAGCTGCATCAGGTGCAGGGAACAGCTCCGTTGCGGTGAACTTCATCTGCTGCTCCCTGTTTCCCTTTTCCTCCATTGCCTTCGTCATATCGTCTAGTGGTGGAAGCGAGCGTGCATCCGGACCCAGGCAACTCAGCCGCCTAGCTTTTACTCGGCTTTGAGTTGATGACAAAGCTGCCAATTGCCCGTTCTCCTTCCCTGGCAAAACGGAGATCTCTTTCCCGAGAGCTGAAAACAGCTGCGTTTTCCCACATTCACACGGTTTTCTAATTGCAGTCGTCTTGGTACTCTTTGCCGGAGCAACTGTTGCTACATCCACCGCTGCGGTGGTCCCACTTCCACCAATCCCAACAGTATCCGCAGACCCAGCTCCACCAGAGGTCCCGGCCGTAGCAGCAGTCCCAGCTGCAGTGGTCATGCCAGCTGGGTCAGCTGCAGCAGCGGAAGCGGCGGTGCCAGCTGTACCGGAGGAAACGACTGCAGGTGCCGGGATGAGAACAGCAGGAGTTGACACATCCGAAGTTGGGACAGCTAGAGTCCCAGTTCCAACTACCACGGTCCCGTTCCCATTCCCGCCCCCTACGACAGCGACAGCAGCAACCGTTCGTGGATCGTTCTTGATGGCCCCAGGTTCATTGGTGTCTTTAGGATAGGATGCTGGCACCGTCGGGCAGTCTGAGGTTGCGGCGGTAGTTGTTGCCGCTCTCTTCCTCTCTCCAATGGAAGTGAAACAAGGAAACAGTCCGCCTTTCGTCGTTGGCAGAGCTGGGCATGCAGAAGAAGCAGCTCTTTCAAACATTGCAATCCGAGACTTCACACTCTGAACCGTTGTGACCTTCTCAATTAGTTCGGCTTCATTCCTCTTTCCATGAGCGATTGTCCGTCCTGCATCAGGTTCCGCTTTCTGACGAACGTACAATTCAGCAGGAGTCTGACCTGTCACTGTGCCTGTGCTGCTTTCCCGCGTGTTGTTATGGACGGTATCCACGGGGACTTGGAAAGATACGGTCTTGCGAAGAGGAAGCCCTGGCCTCGCACTGCGGCTTCTTGGCTTGGCCGGCATAGCCGTGGTCCTGGTGTGCTGATGCTCTGCGCATGGATTTGTCGGCGGAGAAAGAGATTGAGACCTCCAGCCAGCAGCGGGCAGACATTCTCCTGTGTTCCCCCCCCACGGGACATCGGCGCCAGTGGCACCAAACGAGTGCCGCGATGACGTGCTCAGTCGATTCTGGTCTTCGGCATCATCCGGATTCGACAGCTTTCTTTTGTCGTGTGTGGCAAGCTTCTTGGCCCTTGGCAGAGGAAACTCGTCTGCCCTCAAGCAGCAATCCCCAGTGACGAGAGATTCCCGTCTGGATGCTCGCACTCCACCAGCCAGGAACCATTCTGGAAACTGATCCTCCTGTTAAGACCCACGGTACAGCCAAAAAAAGAGGAAAAACACACAACCGCACCCAAAAAACAGCAGAAGCATGGAAGGGGAGAAAAAACGCAATGAGACGGAATAGGGTAGTAAACGAGCCAACAAATAACACCAGGTTTCGTGAGTGCACAACTGCGACCGGAAGCATAAGGATAGTCGTAGAAGGAAGGGCTTCACAGGGGAGGAGAGCAGCGGAGGTACTCGAGGGAAATAGCAAAGAAAAGCAGAGAGAAGAGGCAAGGAGAATGTAGCAGCCAAAACGAATAGAGATGAAATTGGAGGAGAAGAGTACAGACGGACAACGGAGCGAAAAGTAGACGCGAGGGGCACAGGCAACAAATGAGGAACGAGGCAAATTTGCAGGTAGAGGCAGGGACGGTGTGATGTTAAGAAGGCAATGTTAACACCATGAGACGAGAGAAAAGCAAAGGCGAATAAGAGGGCAAAAGGCAGTAGATAGGAAGAGGAAAATACCCGACGAAAGTGGGGGAGAAGTGTACAGGAGAACCGCCGTGCCAGAGATAGACGAGCAGTGCAGAGGTAGCGAGTTTGTGGACAGGCAAAGTCCATGCATAGTCACGCGGAGAAAAGAATGCGAACAGTATCGACACCAGGACACAACAGAGAGGTCGCCGGGAGCAGACGGTTAGAATTTACACTAAGCATTCACAACGGCCATTAATTACAACTTTCCAATATTCAAGGTACTTTGCAGCAACTGTATAAAATTGTCATTTCTCGTCAAGCGTGATCCCTGCCTGTAAACTACTGTTGGAAAGACATGAGGATTTCAACTAAGGAACGGGCCACATGACTGTCGAAAAAAGGATTCTCTTCAGTTTACCTTCGCCACACAGCACGGTCACAGGTAGTTTTGCCAGAGGAGGGAAGGGCTTCGACACCTTTCCAACGAGGCTGCATCCCCATCCTGCAACTCCGACATTTTCAAACGTACGTCCCCCACCGAGCCATCGAGTTCTCCTCATACTTCGGTGAGTGGGACTGAGGCTGGGGCCGACGAATACTTCTCCTCTATCCTCCCGCGCTTTGTCTCTTTCATACTCGCACTCGTGAGCTCACCATTTCAACTGTGCTGTGTGGGGAACCGGGGAAGCTGTCGAAACGGCGGCTGTCGAATTTCTTCTGACAGCCGTCGAGATTTTGATGCTTTCGACAGTGGTGCGGCGAGGCCCTAAACAGGACCACGTCCCAGATTAGACTGTAGAGCAATTCTGAACCTCGAGCCGTCGCAACACAAAGAAATCATACCCACCCAGATATCATATCCCGTACATGGTGAACTCAAACATTAATTTCCCAGAACGAGGAACATGCTGGAACAGAAAAGAAGCAAACAGAAAAAACAGAAAATAGCAAACAATGCGGAATCGGATGACAATCAACTTACCAGCAGGAGCATGACTGCGAAGTTCTTCAAGACCTCGACATTCAGCCTGATATGATCCTGAATCCTGTTTTTTTTTTCCAGCCAATCGATCACACACACATCATTCGTCAAAATCATACACATCCGAAAAGGAAAACTCGTGCCTTGGTGAGTAACAAACGGAGAAGTCATTAACAAGCCTGATATGATCCTGAATCCTGTTTTTTTCCCAGCCAATCGATCACACGCACATCATTCGTCAAAATCATACACATCCGAAAAGGAAAACTCGTGCCTCGGTGAGTAACAAACGGAGAAGTCGTTAACAAGGACAACGCTGAAGTCCCGAAACCCATCACTGAAAGAAATACCAAAACGAAAACAGCTCTTCTCTAGGAAAATAACTTGGTTAAGTGAAACACGAAAAGCACTTGAGAGTATGAATCAATAATTACTTGATTGCTTCCACCATTTTCACTCCAAATCATGTGTGCTTTTCTTTTTGTGCTGTTTGAAGTGTGCTTCTGTTCTCTTTAAGGTCAGGCCGCAATGACTCCGCATAATGTCGATTTTACTAACGATGGACGGGTTTCCCAATACAGCAATAATCAGCCAGATTTCGTTCAAGTCTAGCACGAAGAGCACTTGGAATAACTGCTTTATTAATCTCAGTGCTCAATTCAAACAATCTGTTTCTCTGGGGGGGGGGGGGGGGGGGGGGGGGAAGGTCGCTTATTTCTCATGACGGTCAGCCGGCATAAGGACGATTACTGACCTATTGACGGGCTTCCCGAGACAGCAATACGCAGCCAGAGACGGCATCTGCAAAGCAGAGGACAGCAAATATGACAAAATGCATCGAGGAAGAAAAAGTGAAAACGGAAATACGTTAGAATCAAGGGCACGAACAAGAATAGAGAGCCCAATAAAAGATCTGCAGCAGGTAAAGTTAACGCAAAAAAAACATATAATTGACGCCCATCATGTCATCTATACATAAACAGCGTCAAGAAAACAACTCGTACCTTTTCTCGGCCTTTCGACTGAGATCAAATCTAGTGTCTCCTGTTGCCACTTAAATAACTTAATTTCAGGAAAAAAATAGAGTCGCAAAAATACGCTGTTTGCAAGATACAATCCGAGCGCTTGCCAGTGCTGTATTCGTGTGTTCGAACTCTAGTGGCGATGGTTTCAAACCGCAGCTGAGTCACCAACTGTTCCTGATTGCTATAAATGGAATTTAAATTGTAAATCGAATTTCATAATTTAAATCGAATTTGAATTTGAAACTCGAACTGCATTTCGACTGGACATTTGAATGGTGAAGACACCCTCCAAAGACAGTGTACATCTACATCTACAACACATCATATATTTCCCGTACACCATGAAGACAGTGTTGGCCACTTAGCATCGAAGGTTTTCCCACCCTCGTACCCGGGAGAAGGGGGCTAATTCTTTCTGCTATAGCCCCATTTCGGTCCAACTGCCACTCTCATTTTCCTGAGCTGGCCAGCACATAGAAATGATCAAATCCGGGCTGCCAGAGTTGGGATCTCGTGCCCAGCCCATTTTCTCCTGAGATGACACGATAACGCATTGGAAGCCCGGGAGTTATAAACTTACGCAATGAAGAAAGTAGAAAAACGGAGAGTCGGGCGGGAAGGAAGAGCCGGCAGGAAGCAGCGCAAAAGCGAAGAGAGGGACAAAGGGACTGATATGACCCACTGACCTGCAAGTCTCGAATGTTTGCCCCCAAGCAGTTCCTCAGCAGCACGAGCGTGTCCACGATAGCCACTGGCGTGGGAGGTTCGCAATGCACTCTCCTGAACGCCTCCTTGATGCGCTGGTTGTGCAACTGGCTGATGTTGTGCCCTGCCCATACTCTTCCTGTAAGACACAATGATAGATGGGACACACGGAGGAGGCAAAGGCGAGAGCAAGAATGAGAGGTCGAGATATCCAAGACTTAAGTATATGTTAAAACTCAAAAACAGGAATTTAAAAGATGGATGAGCAAAAAGAAAATGTATTGCGCCCGCGACATCGGTTGACGCGACTACGAAGCGCTGCGCTAGGTTGCGATAGCGCCCGGTCCAGGCCCTACGGGCTGCCGCCCACGCGAATCCGCCACCCCCTGCTTCCCGCCCAGCCGCCGTCACACCGCGCCCGCCCAACTTCGAATTTCGAAGCAGGGCGGCAACGCCCACCATCGCTTCAGCCGAAGACGAAGAAGACTCCCTATCCACGCGCACTTGCAGTGCATTCCCCATATCCACGATGTCCTCCACGAGGGGAGAAGCAGTCCTGCAGCCCGATGCACCACAGGGACGCCATCTTCACAAGAACGAAGCCGCCTTGACGGGTACAACCGGCTTTTCATAGGTCGACATTCCAGCCCGCTGCCTCCCTCACTCAAGGGAAGCATCCCTCCTCTGGCGAACTAGCTGACCTGGCATCCAACGCGCCTCAAGCGCAACTTCTCCACGAAGAAGCAGCTGTCACTGGAAGTTCGGCCGCCGACCTAAGCCGGGCAGTCTCGAGTTGTCATCGCAAGCATGCAGCCCTGCCACCCCCTCCTTCGAAGACAAGCCGAGCGGACCCGTTGCCGAGTTCAAACTCGCCCCAGACCTCCCCCTGTCACGTGAGATTCATTTCCCCCCTCTCCATCCCTTCTCCCCATTTCCGTCATCCGCCATGATGTCGTCTTTCACCTCACTCTTTCGACTATCCTCCTCCCCCACTGGCCCTCTCCCACCAACTCCACTCGCCCCAGCCCTCCCCCTGACGCCGGAGATTCATCCCCCCCTCTCTCTATCCCTTCTCCCCATTTCCCTCATCCGCCATCGTCTTTCACCTTGCTTATCCACGATCCTACTCCCCACTGGCCCTCTTCCACAAACTCCCTCCCGACCTATCATAACACCCTCACATAGCCAACGGGAAACACCACCCCCACCTCAAACCACCTCAAGCCCCCGTCTTAGAGGAGTACATCCTTCTCGTTATCCAACGAGGGGAACCTTTCAAAGCTCACCAAGCGGAGCCAGAGAAACAAACATATCACCAGTCCGCACATCTTACCACACACCACAGCCAAGAACACTCCCTGCACCCCACACACGTAGAAACCCCCTGTCCCTCACTCGCCTACCCTCACACAGCAGAGCGAGCTATCGGAATTCAGCGCCTTCAGATATCACGAGAAGAAAAGGGAAAGAGAAGCCTCGGGCGACGAATCCGAGTACAGCGCAGATACACAGTCTCACAAGGATCCCATCAGAGATATGGTCAAAACCGTCGAAAGGCAGGGTTCATAGAACCAGAAAATCTCAGACACACACCACTGGCAAAGAAAGTGAACACAGATCCCTCAAATGAGAGAGAGTCATTGTAACAATTGCCGAACAGACCAAATGTCTGTTTGACCAGAACGAGGAATACCACAAAAATCATATAAAAGAATACTGCACATTCCAAAATGTCGCTGAGAAATCACTGCTGGTCAGGCATCCACAAGGCTCCCCACATCGCTGAGAAATCACTGCTGGTCAGGCATCCTTCCGCCCAACGGAAGCAAGCGTGAGAGTATTAACCATTTATTTCATTCTTGACTCGCCGGGTTAATAGTAACCGGACTGACGCTCCCCAGAATGGACAAGGAGCCAAGAAAAAAAAAAAAAAAGATGGCTGAGCGGTTGAGAGCAACAGACAGCTAATTTGTGTGTGTGTGTGGGGGTGGGTATGTGTATCCCAAAACCATTTCCTTGACTTCTGAGAGTCTGGAACTACTTTCCGCCTGATACAGTCACTTCTGATTATTGGTCTGATCTGAAGGGCTGCCAAACCCTCCACCTTCTCGTCCGAACAACCCTAAGATCTAAACAACAGATTGTTCCGATCATCCCAGATAATTTTCATCAAAATGACTCGTGTGTTTTGAGCTAGGTACAGCCAGTCCTGTTCATGTTTACAGTTTCTGTTGTGAAGTCCTAACAAAATCCATTCGTCCGTCCATTGAAAATCGCCCTGGGTAAACTTGTTCGAGTGCCGGATCCACCAATCCCGAATTCTCCGTGAGGCTGGGCAAGAAAGCCACAGGTGTCTGTTGTTTTCCCATGGCCACCTACATCTTATACAGTGGACACCTTCATTCCTTTCTTTGCCAAACTGAGCGCCGAGGATGCAGCGAGGTACGTCTGAAGTCACGCAATTCTGGGCAATTTTTGAGATGTCAGTTCCTCGAACTGTTTCCATAAAGAATGCGGCTGGTCATCTGAGATCATTCGCAGATCGGCATCCGCCCTGCGTTTTGCTACCGAGGCTGATGGAGTTTTTTTTTACCTTCGACCTGCGAATAGCTCTTTTGAGCTTTGTGTTCACGTACCAGCCAACGGTCCTTGTATCCACTGTTGTTTGGGCCAGAGGCCGTAGGCCCATAGGGAGATGTGCAATCCAACTAGCTTCTCTGCCTCCTTCCCCATCCCATATATCCTCAAGTTGTGCAATTCCCTTTTCGTGATTTTTTTTCAATTACATAAAATTTATTGAGTAGAATTTTGAATTATTCGTGATTTTTTTGATTATTGAATCAACTTCCTACAAATAAGAATAAACCATAATATAAATATACCATAATATAAATCTATTAGTACCGTAAATTTAATAGATTGGTAGATATTCTTTTATATGTATTTTTTTTTTTGTTTTTGGAGTCCCGAAGGAAGGTGATAGGTTCATATAAGGAAGGGCTTACGGTGGATACCTAGGTACTCAGAGACGAAGAAGGGCGTAGTGAGCGACGTAGCCCGCACCGGAACAGTGCTTTACCCCTGGATAGTGCAGTTAAGTGCTGCGCCTCAACGCATTTCGGGGAGAACCAGCTAGCTCCGAGTTCGAGTGGCATTCCACCACTAACCACAGCTCATCCGCCGATTTAAATCATCAATAGCGAGCTCCCCAGGTAGAGTTTGAACCTACGACCAATTGGTTAACAGCCGACCGCTCTACGGCTGAGCTACTGAGGCGATGTACTGGAAGATTTGACGTGATTCTGGGTAGTCGCAGATACGGTCAATGCAGAGTTGCAGATGGAAATTGGCCCGTGGCTAAGGGCTTGAAGGAAGAATGGGAGAGTCACCCGGAATAGGCTATAGGCGATGTGCTGGAAGATCTGAGGTGATTCTGGGTAGTCGCAGATAGACTCAAGAAGCGAAGCTGGGTAATGCTCCCGGATATAAATGTTGGTACGATCACGGACAGAGAGTTTGGTTCTCTGCGTCTGGTAGTTGGAGTAACTGTTTGATTTTTCTCTTTTCCTGTTTGGAAATAGCAATAATGTCGACAGGAGCATGGGACACTGGACCCGGTTTCCAGTTAATAGGCTCTTTGAGGCTTGGCTTTTCTTCCCGGGTTGGGATGTGGAGGGATTGATTCCCTGCCTCCTTTCGCCAATTTCAAAGAAACTCAGCTATTTAAAAAAAAAAAAAAAGTCACGTAAAAAACAGGAAAGACGAACAAGTCATTCTAGGCCGATCCAATCTGGTCCTCATCCACATCCGATTCCAGTGGCGTAGCGAGGCCCTACCGGGACGAGGTCCCACTAGCGAAGAGGATTGAATTTGAAGCCTGAATCTGGACGTATTTGTTGAGTGGTGCAGAAAGTTGCTATCTATCTCGCTTTCTGCATCTCTTCGTAAAACACGTCCAGAAGTAGGCCCTTAGGCCAATCCTCTTCGTTAGCGGGACCACGCCCCCAATAGGACGCCAGCACGTAAACGTCCCATTGTCGGAGGAAAAGCTCTGCTCGTCTGTTTTGTTGCCCAGCGCGAATTTCACTGGCAGCTTGTCAGCGACTCCAGCCTGTCACCTGGGTCGATGTCCCAATTACCAAATTCTTCGATTGCGACCCCTGATATTCGGACAAACGTTCCAACCCGGTTTACGCTTTGACTGGATGTTTGAATCTGCTGCTCCATTCGGAGCTTTCGTTTCTTTTCTCTGCATTTGAAATGAACGTGCCGGCAGTTTGCGTTTGAAATGAACGTGCCGGCAGTTTGCRTTTGAAATGAACGTGCCGGCAGTTTGCATTTGAAATGAACGTGCCGGCAGTTTGCGTTTGAAATGAACGTGYCGGCAGTTTGCGTTTGAAATGAACGAGCCGGCAACATTATCATGCCCGAACGAGCAGGGCATTTTGAAAAACGACGGGAGTTAAATCGTTGGCTCAGTTATTTCTCCGTTCGGAAATTCAGACCGAGACGGACGAACCGCCCGTTCCCGGATTTACGCCTTGGTTCAGTAGAGGCACCAGACTGACGACATCCTCTTGGGCTACATGTCCAGGACAACTCCCTCACTGGCTGAGCGCAATTACGTCCAGAGCTAACTCGAAAATGTCGCAGAGCGGCATACCCCTCTCTCAAAGACACTCTCATCCTTTTCCTTTCGACCTGTGCCCGGCCCACCGTGTAATATTCACCCGAATAGAACGCAGGGCCATCATAGCTGTGTGTGGGCAACCTCTCATTCGAGACACAGAATTAAGCACCGGGGGCCGTGCCCCACTACCGGTAGGGAGGGGCGGGTTAGTGGCGGGTTAGTTTATTGTTCAAGACTTTTTCAACGTGGCCACAGTGCTGCCGTGAGCTTTCCGGATCGGATGGCAGGATCCCGTGCGTACTCGGAGAACGAACTCAACCCCTGCGAGTTTGTTTGGCATGGCAACGGGTGTGCTATTCCGGTGAAAACACTTCTAGAAAAACGTCCCACGTCGAGCCATCTCTTTATTCTTTGTCGCCCCACTGCACGGCTAATAACCAATTGTCCAAAAAAGAAAAAAAAAACGGAGGCATACACCCAGCCCATGTGGCTGACTGGAATGGTACTCA